GATCGCCTAGGAGAGTTTAAATGCAGGCAAAGAATATAAGATATCCATGAACCCCAAGGAGCTCCCGGCAGACTCCTGCACTGGGGCAGATGGCAAGTGATGGGGAAAAAGCAAGGGAATTTGGGTGTCTATTCTGAAATAAAGATGGAATGAAGTTGTTATACAAAATGGGCCTGGGCTATTTTTGGGGGGGTCCTTGATCAACCCACAGTGAGTTCTTCACGTGAGAGGGATAAACCCAGACTTCCCAGAAACCCAGCAAGCGACCTGATGCAAAGGATTCTGCAAGGAGGTGATACAGGTAACACCACGGATTAGCCAGTTTCCTTTCTGAATTTGTCCTGGGATTTTGGAAAGAATGGACCAGAAGGACTGCAGGCCATTCAGAGTGAGGCAGAGGTTAACCTTCGTGTGCACAGTGGGAAGGGAGGGCACAGGCTGGACGGGAGCGGAGTAGGGCAGAGGCAGGGGAAGCAGAGGTCTCTAGCCCTTGGCCCTGCCTTGGTTCCAGAGGGATCTGCAGATCTGACTCTAATGCATCCTAAATAGATCCTCTTTGACCTAGGAAAGTTGGGTTGGCCATGCTGAGAAGGGGCCGTTGGAAAGAACCCCATCAGAATTAGAGAACACACGTTAACAAGTGTTTAACTGCACCCTCAGGCCTTTGATATTGTTTACTTTGAGACAAGGTCTTACAAAGTTGCTAAACTGCCCAGGCTGGGCATGAACTTGCGATTCTCCTGCCTCAGCCTCCCAAAGCTCTGAGATTAAAGGTGTGTGCACCACCACACTTGGCCTGTCACAGTTTTCCTGTTAGGCAAACAAGCACTTTGGATTATCTAGCAACATTTCTCTTCTTTTACATAAATCCTGAGATCAGCATGTGACTGACATGAATAAATTCAGGTGACAGTTTGTCCTAAGGTGGGGGCAGGATGCTCAGGAAGGGACAAACTCCTAGCAGAGGATTCTGGGACCTTGAGGGCTCCTAAAACAATTACACCTTCTTCTCCCCTAGATCAAGGTCCTCAAACTTTGTAGCCCACAGGCTTTGCCTGAAGCAGCCTGGCTGGGTGTGGCTGCTTTTCAGGGTCAGAGCTGAGAGGAGCTGAGAGACAGCGGGTGCCCCGCAGAGCAGAGCCCATTAACAGGGCGGCCCTGGACAGAAAGAGCCCACCACAGCTCGCCCTCCACACTTCTTGGGACTCAGTACAGAGTGAGCCACCACAGGACTAAATAACAGGTCCTTTTCCTCAGACCTGTGACAGGGAGGTAAAGTTTTGGTTATCAATCAGGAAGATCTGGAAAACAGTGGCCTACACAGGCCATCTCTGTGTCACTTACAAGTCTTGAACTGAAGGCCGGGAGTGGTGGCTCACATTTGTAATCCCAGCATTCCAGGAGTCTTAGGCCAGAAACTTATCAGGAGGAGTTCGGGCCAACCTGGGCAACATAGTAAGTTCAAGGCCAGCCTGAACCATCAGGCAAGGCCCTGTGTCAAAAGATAAAAGATTAAAAAAAATAAGACTGTCTAGGGTTGAATGAACACTGCCCAGAGCTCGGGAGTAAGGCTACTTTCACGTAACTGCTTTTCACACTTCTACACTGCCAAGGTTATGCAGCAGTCCAAAATGGCTGCCTGAGTACCAGCTATTACACTGACATCCAGGGAGCAAGAAGGAAAAGAGAATGCTTCAACTCAACTTTTCGGGAAACTTCTAGAAATACCACTACACATGTCTCCTTAGTAATCACTGGTCACACTGGTCACCACGCTGTCGTGGAGGTTCAGAAGAATAGTCTTTATTTGGGTAGAAAGTTGCTCAGCTAAAAAATAAAGGGTCATTTTATTTCACAAGTGAGAGCTGGTGGTGTATGTTACTGAAGACCAGAAGCAATCTCTCCCACAGGAACCTTACTCAGGCACCAAGCCCCTTATTAAGGTGGCTGCAGTATAATCACCTGGCACAGCTCGAAAATGACAGCCTTTGACACCTGTGAAATGACTCGGAGGTGGTGAGAACAACGCCACCAAGGAGTGACTTTTGGTTACTTCCAAATTTCATTTGAAAGCACAATCTCCAGAAGGAAGGAGACACATTCACTGTTCAGCCCTGAGCACGGAGCTGTGTGCTAGGCCTGCATACATGGAGTCCTCCTAATGCAGTCCACTTGTCATCCTATTTTGTAATCTGATGGACTGTCTCCATTTTCTCTGCCTGGGTCCACAGGCCCCCAACACCACTTCAATGCGACCTGCAATGACCAACACACCCAGCATTTACCTCCACAGTGACACATCACCCGCGGCGGAAGGTCTGGGGGTTCGCCCGCCCCCAGCCGCAGAGACCCCAACAGCCCCACAGGGAATTTTCCCCATGCCCCGGTGTACATCGTTCTGGGACCTGGCAGGCTCCTCATTTCCAGCCTAAAAGACCACTGCAGGAGCCAGGGACTGCGCAGGCTGGGACCAGGACCGCGGTCTGAGTCCTTGATTCTACACGGACAGCGATCAGTTTTGTTTCAGTATTTTCCTCAGCTATGAAAATAAAACCTAAACTTCCGCTTCAACTGCGATCTCCAGTGGGGAGAACCAGACTGGCGCACACTCAGCCTGATACCCGGCATCCAGAGCGGAGGCGACAGCCTGCCGCAGGAGGGCAGCCCACCGCTGAGTGTGGACACCGGGAGATCAGGGGCAAATCTCTATCCTCGGTGAATGCAGGTGTGGGTCGGGGGCAGACCCGCACAAACAGCCAGAAAGATGCGCCTAATTTTAAGACTAGGTTTCCTGGCAGTAGAGGACAAGAGAGCCACAATGCTACAAAAGTAAGCTGGCCGTTACTGGGTCCTGCCCCACCAACCCCAGCCCCACCCCAACCCTGTGCCCAGAGTGGGCTGAGGAGACCCAGGGCATCCAGCACGGGTATCAGATAGGCAGTGACAGTCTAGGGCTTATCTGTCAGTCAGGAGATAAGGAGAAAGTGAGGAGAGGGATGGAAAAGCTGACGGCCATGAAAGTCAGAAAAATACTGCCCTTGGAGCATGTGAAATTTTGGCTAAATATTTTACAATAAAATGTAAAGCTAAGAGAAGCAATTTCTTGACGAAGGAACATCACAAAACAGAAATAACTCCCAGAAAAGATGGCAAGAAAATAGGAGGAACTGAAACGTGAGCTTGCAGAGCTTAGAAAAGCAGGAAAATACAGTGAATGGGGCAGAATGCAGAACCAGGAGGGAAACACAGGAAGGGACAGAGAAGCAGGGAGGACAGTGCCCCAGCTGGGGTGGAAGTAAAGAGATTTCAAACATATGAGAGCAGCCATCAGAGTCAGACAGAGAATGCTGGGATCCCCAAAGGATGAACTGGACCAGGACACACTCTTAAAATAGGAATCAAGAAAAACGTCCCCAAAACAAAAGCAGAGTCAAATCTGATTTGTGAGACACAGCAATATAGCACGGGGCACAGGTCAACGCCGGGGAATATCTGGATAAAATTATCCAACTTTCAACACAAGGAAGGAGTCTTTAGCATGAAAAGCAAAAAGATCAAGCCTGTGAAATGTGTTTGGGAAGCGACTGGATTAGGGGCATCAGAGGACGTGCTGCTAGGAGGTGGCCTCATAGGAAGGAAGAGGTGGGTCCACTGTGGCCAGGCCCCGGGAGGGTTTACCTTCCCCCGGCTCCTCCCTTTCCTCTCCCTGCTCCCTGTGACCTCCCCTGAACTCTCTCTGCATCCCAGCTGCCCTGAGCAGCTCTCCTCTGCCCTGCTTTCTGCCTGGGGGTCAAAACAAACCTTTCCTTCTCTGTGAGTGTTGGATACTTTCATCCTAGCGAAGATAAAGTGACTAGCACGGGGGTATTGTTTCCACAAGTCTTTGAGCAACTTTCTAGATGACATCCCGTCACCTATGTAAGTGAAAAAAACAGTCACAGCCCCGGCAGTGAGCACTAAACATCTTTATCTAGGGAAAGAAGAGTTCATGAAACAAAGAAAGCAGCATGACAGGATCTCAAGCGGAGGCCAGAATTGTAGATGCCCTGGCCATGGAGACAGGACACAAAGCCAGGAGGCCAGGGGACAGCAGAGATGAGATGTGTGACCGTCCTTCTCTTAACAGTGGGCCACAGGGCTCCGTTAAGGGGGACAGTCACAGAGGTAACTGGACCACTCCTGGACCGGCCAAGTACAGTCCGGATGAATCCCAAATCCCAGGTCGTGCACGCGCTGGCCCTGCCTGACCCTGCAGGCCAATCTCTCTCCCATGGTCTTCTCTTTTTGCCCACCTCCCCACACTCACTGAGTCGCATCACTGTCACCCATGCCCACATTGTGCATGTGTGATGGTCCCCTCAAGATTCATATCTGCTTTCCGCAGTGCCTCTTCACAGCCCGCCCTGCCTCTGCCCTCCACTCCAAAGAGGCTGCCCCAACTCCCAGTGGAAATCAGTTCTTGGCTACAGCCAATGTACTCCCCCTCATAATGCACACTGCACATCTGTGTAATGATTTATTTAATATCTGCCTCTCCCATGAGACTGTGAGCTCCAAGAAGAAGTTCTAACTCACTGAAGTTCTAAGACCTAACAGGTCTTGGCATGTGGGAAGTGCTTAATAAATGTGCATTGAGAGACTAACAAAACTGCCTTTCCTCATCCACCACCCTTCCTCTGCCTCATCTCCTCTGTACTCACAATGCAATAGGTAAGAAATCACTTCCCCAGGCAATAATGAGAAATGGCAGGATCTTTAAAACACCCTGGTTTATATGCTTCCTTTACTAAGAAGGCAGGAAAGAATAAAACACATGCTAGGAGAAAGAGTTTCAGAGAGCACTGGTTAAGGGTTTCCTCACAAGCCGACCATTCCTTTATAAATTTAGAAGACATTGTCTCCGGCGCCCTGGGTTGCAGCACAGTTCTCGTGGCTGATTCCACGTGCTATCTGTCACACAGTAAGAGTGGAGGGGACAACACTGAGAGCTCTTCACTTACTTTGGGTGTTCAAACTTGTCTATGAGATCAACCTTCTCCACCAGGTCTCCTCCCACGGTGCGGACCAAGTCATAGAAATCGTTCTCAGCGTAGTTCTCGGTGGGTAACCAGAAGGAAATGTCATTTGTCAGCGCAGGATATTTGCTAAGAGGCTAACGACACAAGACAAGAGAAAGGATGCCTTTGTTAGTTGGACCAGAATGAATTTTTCATAGAAAATTTAACTTGGTTAATTAGGAAATGCCGGTAAAACATTATTTTAGCATTTGAATTTTTAGGGACAAAATGAACTTAAAAGATAAATTAATGTTAAAATTAGCAAATTCCACTCCAAATGCTACCTATTTCTTGTAACATTCATGTGTGACATTACCATATATTATATTTATATTGCAATTAATGTCCAATCTAGTATTCAGCACCTTGAATACATCATATTTTGATTTTTCCCATTTGAATACGACAGGAGGAAAGTTCAGATTTAATTAACATGCGATTCATTAACTTCTTGAGATACTTTCAGGAAGTGATCTTAATAGAGAAATAAGTAAGGGCTTGTCAAAACTGGTATTTCAATTAGTAAAGCCATTATTTGCTGGTATTTCCAATTATTAAAATAAAGGGCTAGGTGGAGAAGCAGGCATTTACTTTTCTAATTGTGCCTTAAGGTTGTGATAAACACACACAGTACCACTTCCCTATTTTATTCCACTTTTTCCTTGTTTGTTAGTTCATTAGTTCATCATCATATGGGGTAGATATTTAAAATCAGGTATGTTTAGAAGTTACTGAATTTGTATAAAACCCTATCATAGGCATATCATGACTATATATAATATATCTTGACTGTATTACATCATATATACTGTGATTATGCATATACATTTATATTATGGTTTACATATAAAAGGTTCCTAAAAGTCTCCTATGTTCAGAGGTGGGAGTTTAGGAAGGTGACCAGGTCAGGGGGACAGGTACTATATTATTAGTGCATTAACCATTTGCTGAGAAGTTACTGAATTTGGTGAATGTGGAGGTGGGGCTCGAATGAAAGAAGAGGTAGGCACTGGCATCACCACCTGCCCCCACCATCCCCAGCTCTCCTTGTGCTGTTTCCTGACAGTCATCGATTGAACAGCTGTCCTATGCCAGGCCCCTCTGCCATCCTATATTTGACTTGGAGCCAGCTGACAATGGCCTGAACCCTCTTGAAACTGTGAACCAAAATAAACCTCTGCTCCTTTAAATTGTGTATGTCAGATATTTTGTCCTTGTGATGAAAAAGCTGACCACTAAATATGCAAAAAAGGCCGCTGCACAGAACGCCCTTTGGCCCACTGCACCTGCCTATGCCCGTGCGCTTCCCACGAGCCCCACCATACAGGCCACCGCCAGACCACTGCCCTGGGCGATCCTCCCCATCTCTTGGACCAAGTACTGCTGTTGATGTTCAGCTCCCTCCCCTTCTCTCAGAACCTTGGACTGCAGTGGATTAACCATGCTGGGTTGATGAGAGACTCAGGAACCCTTCACCCAAACAGGAGACATCAGCAGGCTCCATTCAGTGTGGTGAGTTTGCCCCTAAAACAGAGGTCTTTAGTGGGTAAACAGGAGCAGTAGGGAAGTTCCCTCCAACTGTAAGACCTGGGCAAGGTTGGCAAGAGTGTGGGTGATTCCCTCCTCCACATAGAGAACAACGGGTGGGTTGAGGGGAGTGCCAACATGGAGAGGCCTCCCCCAACATGGAGAAAATCTAAAGAGCTTATGAGACCCCCAGTGACACAGCAGGGCCTCAGCCGACACAAATACTATAGACAGGGAGATCTGGTGATCTGCAACAACCTGAAGACATAGTAACATCGGGAATTACATCAATACTCCTAGGCCAGTCAGCCCAGGAAGAATATAGGATTCACCCAACTGCCCCTGCAGGAGAAATACAGGTGACTGGCTCTCCTCTTCACTGTGGTATTCAATAATCAAACAAACATCAACCACATAGTAGGACCCTAAGATACACAAACCGACAGTTGAGACTATTGGGATTGAAAGACCAAAAATTAACCCAAAAAGTAAAAATGACAAAACGAAAAAGCAAAATGCAATCTCAAACATCACTCCATCAGGAGCAAGAACAGGCAACATTGAAATAGAGACATTAATAGTCATACACCAGAAATCTCTGAAAAGATAGCAAATGAAATAAAGAAACAAATTCATGAGGCTATAGAGGAAATCAAATTAGAAATAGTTTCCCACGTAAAGACAGAAATAACAACTTTAGTAAAGAAGTTGGTCAGCATAGCCAGAGAAGAAATAGATTTACAAAATACAGGAACATGGGAAATTAATTGAAACCTTGAATGAACAATATAGAAAACAAGCACAACCCATGAAAAAATTCAAAGAGATATCCAAGAAACAAAAAATTCTATAGTGGGGCTCAGGAAATAGCTCAGTGGCATAAGTGCCTGCCTCGCAAGCACAAGGTCCTGAGTTCGATTCCAAGGACCAAAAAAAAAATTCTATTAAAAGCTGGCAAAACCATTTAAATGAACCTGAGGATAGAATTTCGGACCAAGAACAGGTACACAGTTAGCGATCATGAAAGACTAGAACTTTTAAAAACAATAAAGCAGCATGAAATGACAATCCAGCAGCTTCGAGATGACACCACGAGAAAAAATATAAGACTAATAGGCTTCAAAGAAGATGCAGGAGTCAATGCAAATGACATAGGTAAACTATCTACAGAAGTAACAGAAGAAAATTTCCCAAACATGGGGAAAAATCTGACATGCAGATAAGTGAGTCATATAGAACGCCAAACAGTCACAACCAACATAGATCTACACCTAGATGTATAATAATTAGGATCCCAGACATACAACATAAAAACAGAATACTAAAGGTGTTAGAGAAAAGACACAACTCACCTACCAAGGAAGGCCCATCAGAATGATGGTAGATTTTTCACTGCAAACTCTCAAGTTAAAACAAGCTTGGAGTGAAGCATTTCAAGCTTTGAAAGAAAACAACTTTCAACCCAAATTGATGTACCCAGAAAAACTGTTTTTCAATTTTAATGGAGAAACAAGATACTTTCATCACAAAGAACAACTGAAGAAACTCAGGCCCACCAAACCAAACCCTAGAAAGAGTATTGAAAGACATACTAGGTAAACATAAAAATAACCACAATCTCCCGAACAACAACAGAAAGAAACCACCAGGTAGGACAAGCAATTAAACAGGGGGGGGGGCAGAAAACAAACAACTGGAACATAACATGGCAAAGTCGATCCAGTACATATCAGTTATATCCATAAATGTAAATGGCCTCAAATCACCTATCAAAAGAAATAAGTTGACAGAATGGATCAAGAAACAGGATCCCACACTATGCTGTACACAAGAAACACACCTGACTCTAAAGGTCAAAGGATAGAAAACAGTATCCCATGCAATAAGAACCCAGAAAATAGCAGGGATAGCTATTCTGTTTGCATACAATGGGAACTTCAAACCTAAAATGATTAAAAGAGATAAAGGTCTTGTAGACCTATACTTGTTAGTGTAAAACTTCAAGAAGAAGAATTAACAATTATAAGTATATATATATATATATATATATATATATATATATATCAAATACAGGAATATCCGACTAGATAAGACAAATACTAATAGACATGAAAAACCAAATACACAAGAACAGATTGTAATAGGGGACCAAAGAGATAGATCAACTAGACAAAAAGTCAGCAAAGAAACAATAGAACTAAATCATACCTGTGAGCAAATGGACTTAGTAGATGTTTACAGAGTGATCCACCCAACCACAGTAGAATATACATTCTTCTCAGCTGCACATGGAAGATTTTCCAAAAAAGACCATATATTAGCTGTTAAAACATTCTTAAGTAAATGCAAAGGGATTTAAATTATCCCATTAATAATATCTGGGCCATAGTGCACTGAAATTGGAATTTAATGGCAAAAAAAATTGCAAAACCTGCATGAATCCATGGAAATTAAATAAAAAAAACCCTGCTGCACAGTGGGTTAAAGGTGAAATTAAGAAAGAAATAAAGCAATACCAATAATTCAATGAAAATGCAGATAAAACATACTGTAACGTGTGGGACACAATAGAAGCAGTTCTAAGAGGAAAATATATAGAAATAAATGGTCACATCAAGGAAACAGAACGAGCACAAATAAACAACCTGATGCTACATCTCAAGCTTTAAGAAGAGCACGTCTAATCCAAAACTCATAGAAGAGAGGAAATTGTAAAAATCAGAGCAGAAATTAATGCAATTAAATCTAAAAAATTACAAAGAATCAATGAATCAAAAATTTATTTTTTGAGAGAATAAACAAAATTGATAAACCTCTAGCCAATCTTATCAAGAAAAAGAAAGAAAAACATTCATGCAATAAGAACTGAAAAGAGAGAAATTATTACAGATTCCAGGAAATTCAAAAGATCAGGAATACCTACTTTGAAAATCTCTACTCACATAGGAAACTCTCTACTCACAGAGGAAATGGACGGATTTCTAGAAACATATGAACTACCAAAGCTAAATCAAGAAGATATAACAATTTTGAACAATCCAGGATCAGCCACTGAAATTGAAAACATGATTAAAAACTTAACAAAAAAGAAAAGCCCAGGTCTTGATAGATTTACGGCTGAATTTTACAAGAAATTTAGAGAAGATCTGACGGCAATACTCCTTAAACTCTTCAATGAAATTGAAAGAGAAGCAATCCTCCCTTACTCATTCCTGGGGGCAAGTATCACGCTGATACCAAAACCAGAAAAAGACCCAACCAAAAAGGAGAACTATAGGCCAATCTCACTAATGTACATTGATGCAAAGATACTCAAAAAATACTGGAAAATAGAATGCAGCAAATCATTCAGAAGATTATACACCATGACCAAATGGGATTTATTTCAAGAATGCAGGAATGGTTTAACATAAGCAAATCAACAAATGTATTAAACCATCACATCAACAAAGCCAAAAACAAAAATCACATGATGATCTCAATAGATGCAGAAAAAGCTTTGGATAAAGTCCAACACTTGTCATGATAACAACTCAACAGAAACTTGAGATACACGGTACCTACCTCA